TCACTTAGCTCTAGCCAACAGTGTGGGGGGGGGGGGGGGCGGGGGTGTTGAGAGGGGCAACTGTTGCTGCTACAACTAAATGCTGATTCACTTAGCTCTAGCCAACAGTGGGGGGGGGGGGGTGTTGAGAGGGGCAACTGTTGCTGCTACAACTAAATGCTGATTCACTTAGCTCTAGCCAACAGTGGGGGGGGGGGTGTTGAGAGGGGCAACTGTTGCTGCTACAACTAAATGCTGATTCACTTAGCTCTAGCCAACAGTGTGGGGGGGGGGGTGTTGAGAGGGGCAACTGTTGCTGCTACAACTAAATGCTGATTCACTTAGCTCTAGCCAACAGTGTGGGGGGGGGGGGGGGTAGGGGGGTGTTGAGAGGGGCAACTGTTGCTGCTACAACTAAATGCTGATTCACTTAGCTCTAGCCAACAGTGTGGGGGGGGGGGTGTTGAGAGGGGCAACTGTTGCTGCTACAACTAAATGCTGATTCACTTAGCTCTAGCCAACAGTGTGGGGGGGGGGGGGGGTGTTGAGAGGGGCAACTGTTGCTGCTACAACTAAATGCTGATTCACTTAGCTCTAGCCAACAGTGGGGGGGGGGGGGGGGTGTTGAGAGGGGCAACTGTTGCTGCTACAACTAAATGCTGATTCACTTAGCTCTAGCCAACAGTGGGGTGGGGGGGGTGAGAGGGGCAACTGTTGCTGCTACAACTAAATGCTGATTTACTTAGCTCTAGCCAACAGTGGGGGGGGGGGGGGTGTTGAGAGGGGCAACTGTTGCTGCTACAACTAAATGCTGATTCACTTAGCTCTAGCCAACAGTGGGGGGGGGGGGGGGTGTTGAGAGGGGCAACTGTTGCTGCTACAACTAAATGCTGATTCACTTAGCTCTAGCCAACAGTGGGGGGGGGGTGTTGAGAGGGGCAACTGTTGCTGCTACAACTAAATGCTGATTCACTTAGCTCTAGCCAACAGTGGGGTGGGGGGGGGGGGGGTTGAGAGGGGCAACTGTTGCTGCTACAACTAAATGCTGATTCACTTAGCTCTAGCCAACAGTGGGGGGGGGGGGGGTGTTGAGAGGGGCAACTGTTGCTGCTACAACTAAATGCTGATTCACTTAGCTCTAGCCAACAGTGTGGGGGGGGGGGGTAGGGGGGTGTTGAGAGGGGCAACTGTTGCTGCTACAACTAAATGCTGATTCACTTAGCTCTAGCCAACAGTGGGGGGGGGGGGGTGTTGAGAGGGGCAACTGTTGCTGCTACAACTAAATGCTGATTCACTTAGCTCTAGCCAACAGTGTGGGGGGGGGGGGGTGTTGAGAGGGGCAACTGTTGCTGCTACAACTAAATGCTGATTCACTTAGCTCTAGCCAACAGTGTGGGGGGGGGTAGGGGGGTGTTGAGAGGGGCAACTGTTGCTGCTACAACTAAATGCTGATTCACTTAGCTCTAGCCAACAGTGTGGGGGGGGGGGGGTGTTGAGAGGGGCAACTGTTGCTGCTACAACTAAATGCTGATTCACTTAGCTCTAGCCAACAGTGTGGGGGGGGGGGGTGTTGAGAGGGGCAACTGTTGCTGCTACAACTAAATGCTGATTCACTTAGCTCTAGCCAACAGTGGGGGGGGGGGTGTTGAGAGGGGCAACTGTTGCTGCTACAACTAAATGCTGATTCACTTAGCTCTAGCCAACAGTGGGGTGGGGGGGGGGGTGAGAGGGGCAACTGTTGCTGCTACAACTAAATGCTGATTTACTTAGCTCTAGCCAACAGTGGGGGGGGGGGGTGTTGAGAGGGGCAACTGTTGCTGCTACAACTAAATGCTGATTCACTTAGCTCTAGCCAACAGTGGGGGGGGGGGGGGGGTGTTGAGAGGGGCAACTGTTGCTGCTACAACTAAATGCTGATTCACTTAGCTCTAGCCAACAGTGGGGGGGGGGGGTGTTGAGAGGGGCAACTGTTGCTGCTACAACTAAATGCTGATTCACTTAGCTCTAGCCAACAGTGGGGTGGGGGGGGGGGGGTTGAGAGGGGCAACTGTTGCTGCTACAACTAAATGCTGATTCACTTAGCTCTAGCCAACAGTGGGGGGGGGGGGGGGGGGTGTTGAGAGGGGCAACTGTTGCTGCTACAACTAAATGCTGATTCACTTAGCTCTAGCCAACAGTGTGGGGGGGGGGGGGGTAGGGGGGGTGTTGAGAGGGGCAACTGTTGCTGCTACAACTAAATGCTGATTCACTTAGCTCTAGCCAACAGTGGGGGGGGGGTGTTGAGAGGGGCAACTGTTGCTGCTACAACTAAATGCTGATTCACTTAGCTCTAGCCAACAGTGGGGGGGGGGGGGGGGGTGTTGAGAGGGGCAACTGTTGCTGCTACAACTAAATGCTGATTCACTTAGCTCTAGCCAACAGTGGGGGGGGGGGGTGTTGAGAGGGGCAACTGTTGCTGCTACAACTAAATGCTGATTCACTTAGCTCTAGCCAACAGTGTGGGGGGGGGTAGGGGGGTGTTGAGAGGGGCAACTGTTGCTGCTACAACTAAATGCTGATTCACTTAGCTCTAGCCAACAGTGGGGGGGGGGGTGTTGAGAGGGGCAACTGTTGCTGCTACAACTAAATGCTGATTCACTTAGCTCTAGCCAACAGTGGGGGGGGGGGTGTTGAGAGGGGCAACTGTTGCTGCTACAACTAAATGCTGATTCACTTAGCTCTAGCCAACAGTGTGGGGGGGGGGGGGTAGGGGGGTGTTGAGAGGGGCAACTGTTGCTGCTACAACTAAATGCTGATTCACTTAGCTCTAGCCAACAGTGGGGTAGGGGGGTGTTGAGAGGGGCAACTATTGCTGCTACAACTAAATGCTGATTCACTTAGCTCTAGCCAACAGTGGGGGGGGGGGTGTTGAGAGGGGCAACTGTTGCTGCTACAACTAAATGCTGATTCACTTAGCACTAGCCAACAGTGGGGGAGGGGGGGGGGGGTTGAGAGGGGGATGACCTGAGGGGGTGGGGTGGGTAAAGTATAGTCGTAGTCAAACTAAAGTGATGACTTTAGCAGCAAAAAACCGGTCACAATTACAAACTCCGGCATTCAAGAGGATTTATCTAGCGGCCATTGTATGAGGTCAGCAAATGACCTAACCGTTAGGATGAAGGACAGAAAGAAGGAATTAAACTAATACCTAACACAGCGGTATGAGTTTAGCTTGAAAACTTGCACACTTAATTGTAAAGCTTGTTTATGTTATGGCCAAAGCACGCATTGGACGGCAAATGTGCGCATTGGCCGGCTCTCTTGGCCAAAGCCCGAAGAGCTTAGCAACGAGAACGTATTTCGTACATTGGCCGCCCAATGCGCCGGGATGTCCTGGAGAATGTCCTTTCTAGACTAAGTTGTGATCGCGTTTTCATTATTCTGAGTGATGTTTCATTGTGAGTAACGTATTGTTTGGCTCTTGTTTGTATAGCATTCTATATGAAATGCGACACGGACCAAAAGGGCCTTCAGACCAGGAGACAGACATACTAGATGGCTGTCCAGAAAAGTTGCGTGACAATTATATGGCCAACAGATTAGTAGTTTGTGAAAAATATTGTAGTGCAGCCCATTCTTGTGGATCCTGTGTCAACGATGTCCATGCAATATGCGGAATGAAGTAGACAAAGGTACGGAGGGAACAGTACTTGCAGATTATGTCACAAAAAACAAGAAATTATGGACAACAGGTCAGCAGCTCATACTAGCTTGCAAACTCAAGGTGCTAAGATGCTAACAAAATCAGATACACATTTTAAACAAGCTGAAGTGAGAGATAATGTTCGCATCCGTATACCAGATGTTGACAGAGGTCGCGGTGACCCCCGAAGCGTCATCGCAATTGTCATGAACGTCGAGGGCGCTTTCTACAAGATAGGAACGGAACATTGTGTTCTAAAACAACTCTATGCTCGTCCGTTTGCAATGAGGAAAAAAACACTCCGAACCATCGCATCTAAACAATAACTGACCGGCGGCCAAGGGTACACTCGCTGCAATTGCACAACCACAGCACAACAAATTACTGCAAGTGTAAAAATAACAAGCTGCTATGTAATTCTAAATGCCATAAAAAGTTCAACTTGTTGTAACAAGTGATAATATTGATTGAGACTATAGTACAATAAAATAATTTGAACGTTTATGCCATTTACTTTAATTAATAATCAATAAAGACTTAATTTCATAATCCTTACTGTATTAAAAAATCTGCTAATGATCTTATAATTCAGACTTTGGCCGGTCGTCCCTAGCCAGATGATCTTCTAATTCGGACTTTGGCCGGTCCACCATGGCCAGTTCACGAACTGGCCGGCCAAATGCCGAAATTAAGAGCTATTTCAGACTGGTCAATGGGAGGCGATATTGGCCAATGCGCACTTTGGCCGACTTCGGGATTTGACCATAACATATACATTTAAAAACATAATAAGCCAAACTAAACATTTTCTTTAGATATACTATGAGCGACCCACGTTTCTTGTTAATGGTTTTTGCAACAATGTTTTTTATTAGTATAAAAACTAAAAAAATAGTATTTATTTTTTTCTAAAACATTCATTTATTTTTTAAAAATATATTTGTTATGCTTTTGACAAGTTTTTTCTACTTGCTTTATTTTCAACTTTCTAGTAGTAAGATATTGTAAATATATATATATATATATATATATATATATATATATATATATATATATATATATATATATATCAGTAGCGCCCACTGAAGTTTAGAAAAGAAATATTACGAATGTAATTCTTTCTAACATGATCGTTCTTAAGTCGACACCAACATGTTGCAACACAATGACTCCCTTACACGGGCAGTTCTATCTATTGTCTGTCTAAACAGATTTGTAAACATTCGCCGTCAACACCGGTCCACCAAACTGATCTAGTGGTCGAGACTATTAGATGAGCAGCGGAACAATGACATTAGATGTATAGTAAGAGCAGAGAGTTGTGTGGGAAAAAACTTACCTGACTTTTAATCATAAGATCATGTTTGCCTTTTGGTCGACCCCCGTACAAGTCTTCCGTGTCCATCTCTATCTCACTGTCATCGCTGGACTCCATCTCTTCCTTCTCTCTGGGGAGGTGACACTTCACTATCAAAACACATTCCCAACGGTCAAACTTATTCTCTTCCAATAAAAACATCACCACTTTCTTTTGAAATACAACCAAAACAAATGACTCCTCCCGCTTTCTATGTGTAGTATAAAAAGTAAGTCTAACTTTCTAGCCTGCTCGTCCTTGATTCTAGATTCCTCTAGTTCCTTTTCTTGCTTCCTTTTAAAATACTCATCCAGCTCAGCACCTTCAAGCTTGACCCGTCTCTTGATCTAAAGTGGGGAAACACGCGCTCTCATCAATTGGGAAGTCCACGAAAACAAGACACCTCTACACTACCCCACCCACACACACAAAACAAAACTACACACGGACATAAGACACCACTTCCCTAACCAACAGCAGACATCACTACACTACCCCAGACACCACTGCATTACCCTTAGACACCAATACACTACCCCAGACACCACTACACTTCCCCCAGACACCACTACACTACCCCAAGACACCACTACACTACCCCCAGAAATCACTACACTACCCCAGACATCACTATACTACCCCCAGACATCACTACACTACCCCAGACATCACTACACTACCCCAGACATCACTACACTACCCCCAGACACCACTACACTACCCCCAGACATCACTACACTACCCCCGAACACCACTACACTACCCCCAGACACCACTACACTACCCCCAGAAATCACTACACTACCCCCAGAAATCACTACACTAACCCAGACATCACTACACTACCCCCAGACATAACTACACTACCCACAGACACCACTACACTACCCCCAGACATCACTACACTACCCCCGAACACCACTACACTACCCCCAGACACCACTACACTACCCCAAGACACCACTACACTACCCCCAGACATCACTACACTACCCCAGACATCACTAGACTACCCCCAGACATCACTACACTACCCCCAGACATCACTACACTACCCCAGACATCACTACACTACCCCAGACACCACTACACTACCCCAGACATCACCACACTACCCCCAGACATCACTACACTACCCCCAGACATCACTACACTACCCCAGACATCACTACACTACCCCCATACATCACTACACTACCCCAGACACCACTACACTACCCCATACATCACTACACTACCCCATACATCACTACACTACCCCCAGACACTACCCCCAGACATCACTACACTACCCCCAGACATCACAACACTACCCCAGACATCACTACACTACCCCCAGACACCACTACACTACCCCCACACAAGACACCACTACACTACCCCCTCACAAGACACCACTACACTACCTCCACACAAGACATCACTACACTACCCCCACACAAGACACCACTACACTACCCCCACACAAGACACCACTACACTACCCCCACACAAGACATCACTACACTACCCCAGACATCACTACACTACCCCCAGACACCACTACACTACCCCCAGACACCACTACACTACCCCCAGGCATCACTACACTACCACAGACACCATTACACTACCCCCAGAGATCACTACATACCCCCAGACATCACTACACTACCCCCAGACATCACTACACTACCCCAGACATCACTACACTACCCCCAGACACCACTACACTACCCCCAGACAACACTACACTACCCCCAGACATCACTACACTACCCCCAGACACCACTACACTACCCCCAGACACCAATACACTACCCCCGAACACCACTACACTACCCCCAGACATCACTACACTACCCCCGAACACCACTACACTACCCCCAGACATCACTACACTACCCCCAGACATCACTACACTACCCCCACACAAGACACCACTACACTACCCCCACACAAGACACCACTACACTACCCCCACACAAGACACCACTACACTACCCCCACACAAGACACCACTACACTACCCCCACACAAGACACCACTACACTACCCCCACACAAGACACCACTACACTACCCCCACACAAGACACCACTACACTACCCCCACACGAGACACCACTACACTACCCCCACACAAGACACCACTACACTACCCCCACACAAGACACCACTACACTACCCCCACACAAGACACCACTACACTACCCCCAGACATCATTACACTACCCCCACACAAGACACCACTACACTACCCCCACACAAGACACCACTACACTACCCCCACACAAGACACCACTACACTACCCCCAGACATCACTACACTACCCCAGACATCACTACACTACCCCCAGACACCACTACACTACCCCCAGACACCACTACACTACCCCCAGACATCACTACACTACCCCCAGACATCACTACACTACCCCCAGACATCACTACACTACCCCCAGACATCACTACACTACCCCCACACAAGACACCACTACACTACCCCCACACAAGACACCACTACACTACCCCCACACAAGACACCACTACACTACCCCCAGACATCATTACACTACCCCCACACAAGACACCACTACACTACCCCCACACAAGACACCACTACACTACCCCCACACAAGACACCACTACACTACCCCAGACATCACTACACTACCCCAGACATCACTACACTACCCCCAGACACCACTACACTACCCCCAGACATCACTACACTACCCCCAGACACCACTACACTACCCCCAGACACCACTACACTACCCCCAGACATCACTACACTACCCCCACACAAGACATCACTACACTACCCCCAGACATCACTACACTACCCCCAGACATCACTACACTACCCCCAGACATCACTACACTACCCCAGACATCACTACACTACCCCCACACGAGACACCACTACACTGCCCCCACACAAGACACCACTACACTACCCCCACACAAGACATCACTACACTACCCCCACACGAGACACCACTACACTACCCCCACACAAGACACCACTACACTACCCCCACACAAGACACCACTACACTACCCCCAGACATCATTACACTACCCCCACACAAGACACCACTACACTACCCCCACACAAGACACCACTACACTACCCCCACACAAGACACCACTACACTACCCCCAGACATCACTACACTACCCCAGACATCACTACACTACCCCCAGACACCACTACACTACCCCCAGACATCACTACACTACCCCCAGACACCACTACACTACCCCCAGACACCACTACACTACCCCCAGACATCACTACACTACCCCCACACAAGACATCACTACACTACCCCCAGACATCACTACACTACCCCCAGACATCACTACACTACCCCCAGACATCACTACACTACCCCAGACATCACTACACTACCCCCACACGAGACACCACTACACTGCCCCCACACAAGACACCACTACACTACCCCCACACAAGACATCACTACACTACCCCCACACGAGACACCACTACACTACCCCCACACAAGACACCACTACACTACCCCCACACAAGACACCACTACACTACCCCAGACATCACTACACTACCCCCAGACACCACTACACTACCCCCAGACATCACTACACTACCCCCAGACACCACTACACTACCCCAGACACCACTACACTACCCCCAGACATCACTACACTACCCCCAGACACCACTACACTACCCCCAGACATCACTACACTACCCCAGACATCACTACACTACCCCCACACGAGACATCACTACACTACCCCCAGACATCACTACACTACCCCCAGACATCACTACACTACCCCAGACATCACTACACTACCCCCACACGAGACACCACTACACTACCCCCACACAAGACACCACTACACTACCCCCACACAAGACACCACTACACTACCCCCACACAAGACACCACTACACTACCCCCACACAAGACACCACTACACTACCCCCACACAAGACACCACTACACTACCCCCACACAAGACACCACTACACTACCCCCACACAAGACACCACTACACTACCCCCACACAAGACACCACTACACTACCCCCACACAAGACACCACTACACTACCCCCACACAAGACACCACTACACTACCCCCACACAAGACACCACTACACTACCCCCACACGAGACACCACTACACTACCCCCACACAAGACACCACTACACTACCCCCACACAAGACACCACTACACTACCCCCACACAAGACACCACTACACTACCCCCAGACATCATTACACTACCCCCACACAAGACACCACTACACTACCCCCACACAAGACACCACTACACTACCCCCACACAAGACACCACTACACTACCCCCAGACATCACTACACTACCCCAGACATCACTACACTACCCCCACACAAGACACCACTACACTACCCCCACACAAGACACCACTACACTACCCCCAGACATCATTACACTACCCCCACACAAGACACCACTACACTACCCCCACACAAGACACCACTACACTACCCCCACACAAGACACCACTACACTACCCCCAGACATCACTACACTACCCCAGACATCACTACACTACCCCCAGACACCACTACACTACCCCCAGACACCACTACACTACCCCCAGACATCACTACACTACCCCCAGACATCACTACACTACCCCCAGACATCACTACACTACCCCCAGACATCACTACACTACCCCCACACAAGACACCACTACACTACCCCCACACAAGACACCACTACACTACCCCCACACAAGACACCACTACACTACCCCCAGACATCATTACACTACCCCCACACAAGACACCACTACACTACCCCCACACAAGACACCACTACACTACCCCCACACAAGACACCACTACACTACCCCAGACATCACTACACTACCCCAGACATCACTACACTACCCCCAGACACCACTACACTACCCCCAGACATCACTACACTACCCCCAGACACCACTACACTACCCCCAGACACCACTACACTACCCCCAGACATCACTACACTACCCCCACACAAGACATCACTACACTACCCCCAGACATCACTACACTACCCCCAGACATCACTACACTACCCCCAGACATCACTACACTACCCCAGACATCACTACACTACCCCCACACGAGACACCACTACACTGCCCCCACACAAGACACCACTACACTACCCCCACACAAGACATCACTACACTACCCCCACACGAGACACCACTACACTACCCCCACACAAGACACCACTACACTACCCCCACACAAGACACCACTACACTACCCCCAGACATCATTACACTACCCCCACACAAGACACCACTACACTACCCCCACACAAG